ATAATTAAATTTTATTGTTTTATTGCCCTTGGATACCCTTTGAACCTTGTATAAGTACTATTCATGCCATTATAAGTTGTAAATCACTTGGGAAACATGCAGCTCATGTTATGCTATCAAATTACATTACCCACAAGCTAATCTGAGCTGCTCACATGCATGCCTCATGAAATATATTTATGATATTATTATTATTTATTTTATGTAATCTAACCATAACTAATCTAAAGATATTCCTATTTTTACATTTTAGCTACTTTTATAATAATAAATAAAGAATAAACATGATTAATAAGAAATAAAGTACTTACCCGTGTCTTCTTTCTTTTTCGGTCTATGACACTTAACCCTACTTTTGTTATACTGATCATAGTAATGCATAAAATAATTTTCACTTAATTGAATAATGCACCAAAGAACATAGAATAATAACATGCAGAAAGCAGACAATTTTCTCTAACTATCACAGTTTTTCTGGCTTTCTAACTGTTCATCACGAGCCATTACAAATTCATCTAAACTAGTTGTTATCTTTCCCATGGGAACGAAGCTTGTACTAAAAGATAAATTGACAATTCTCTTTTCAGAACACAATGTAGTATAATACTTCATTTGATATATGAAAACCTTGGCTTTCTGTTGGTTATAGGTAATATAGAATTAAATGTAAGCGAGAACTATTAACAAATCCTGAAAGAGAGGATGTGACAGATGGGTGTGGCAAGAGGGTTCTGATTTTCTATGTGATAGCTCTGTAACCAAACAAATTGGAGGCTATAAAAGTTATAGTTTGTGTGAGCAATAACGATTTTATAGTGAGTAATTTACATTTAATTTCGTAGTTATTATAAGGGTGGTTGATAAAACGGAGAAGATACCTAGAGAAAATGTGTCACACTAGGGAAAATTCAGGATTTTTTCAAATATTGCCTTATAAGATTAAGAACTTAAAACTTATACACTAATAAAATATGGATTGTTAGCAATGATTTTATGCTATAATAATTGGTATGACATAAACAAAAAGTAGTTTAATAAAAGTTTGTATTTAAGCCACTAAAAACTCATGACATGCGCAGTAAATGATACCCGGGCAGTTAGGGTTAAGGATTTAATAACAAAAGAAAGAAGGAAGGGGAACATTGTCCTTTATATAATATTGGCTTTCTTAACAGCTAGTAATTCTAATGATGGAATTGTCCTGCTTTTGTATGAAGGACAAATAAATTGATAATCTACAATAGCTGTCATCAATAATAATATTCTTGGTATCAGAAAAACCATCGTAGTTTTAAATGTGCATCTCATCTGTACATTAGTGTCAAAATTTATAATATTCATGTCAAACTTTTCCTTGCCCGAAACTTTACTCTCTTCTGCTATTGTCTGTCTGCTGTTTTTGCTCGTCTCATACTGTTTATATCTTTATCACATAATCGTCTGCTCGCCGTCTATATTCTCAACATCAGTGTATCGCACGTGACATTCGATAGTCTCTACATCAATGAATTATTAACAAAACTTCCTATAATCGTCTGCTTTTAACTCTTAATATAAAACAATAATAAAGTATTCATTCACAAAAATAAATTAATCAATAATATCTAAATTAAACAGTCGTATATATTATGCCAGAGAAGGTAAGCTCTTTTTTGACAAAATTACACAACTTGCGATTAGAAATATAGTGTGTAATTTATTAAATAAAGTAATAATTCATAGTTTTTTTTAATAAGCTCTGCACAGTTGGTTAGGTTTTCTAATTCATATTTTGTTAATCATGCGAATGTATTTTATAGGATTAACACTTCAGACTTGAAAAACGTGGTGTACATAAAAAAAAGTAATGTTTTTAGGTGACTACATTTTATGCATTGTATTGAGGCTTTTATGTTAAATAAGGTTTTTCTTACACTATCTTGTTGCTAAACTACACAATATTTTCTGCTGTGTACAGGTTGTCAGGCAAAAACTTTTCTATTATAGGTTTGTTCATCTCCAAAATGCTTATTGTTTTCAGTATTTTTATCGATTTAAAAACTCGTTCATTTTTATAAAGGTATCATTTTCTTTTATAACCTTGTCAGATTTAAAACTGAGAGTCTAAACAATGAAATTCATAGATTTTTGTTATTTATGATCAGATGATTAGAGAACATTATCTTGATCCTCCTAGCCTCCTCTTCGATCAGTGGCATCAGATGCAACACTTATGTGTGATGGTAAGACTAATGGTCATACAGGTAGGTTACAGAAGAGTTCTTTTGTAGAGGGAACACCTATCATTCCCACAGATTCTACAGGAAACACCTCGAGCAAAGTTTTGGGAGAAACTGATACTTCAAAATCTAGCAATTCTCACCCTGTATCCATTCTGGCTAGTAAACTTGACCCTCTCAGGAGAAACAGCAGTTACAGGTATTTTCAATGTCAAAAGAGTAGTTACATTTTCACTATGTTTGTTTGTTGTTGTTTTTTTTTGTTTGTGTGATTCATTTTATGGCAAGGTCAGCAATTGACAAATGTTTTATTTATAATGTAATGAAAACAGTTCAGATATATGCTTTTCTTTTGGTTGCAGTGACAGGTCAACTTATCCTGTTTTGTATTAATCAAAGTTTGAAAACTGTCAAGGGATCCACTAAATGACTTTATAATTTCAAAATTAAATATATTACTGACATATTAGTAAATTATTTATGACATTTCATGTGAAATAATAATAATGCTTTGTATATATATTGTTTTGAAATGTGGGAAGGGTGCAGAAAAAACCCGTTACAGCAAAGGAAAGCTGACTCGTAAAGCTTTGTAGCAAAATGTTAAATAGAGCTATTTTCATTAGACATATCCAGTTTTTAGTCGGACAATGTCCAATCGCTATTTTAAGTCCTGATTGTGAGGAAACAAGATTTTTCCAATGACATGTTAATTTTGAAAAGAAAAATGTACCATATTTTGAAGGTATGTCATACAGTTAACTTGTAAGTTTAAAAATATAAATTATTAGTTTCACTATAGTAGTTTATTAATGCTGTAATGAAGTGGGACGTATTTATTAGTTCTTTTTTTGTGAAAATGTTCTAACTCGTGAAAGTTAATCAGCTTTTAAATGTGATTTCCATTTGTACATTAGTGATTTAGCAGAGAAAAAGGACCCACTGTCAGCTTTAGTAAAAGGAGGAGGTTCCAAAAGGAATGCACTCCTTAAATGGTGCCAGAACAAGACCATAGGGTACAAGGTAAACATTGAAGTTTGTGACGTCTAAATTTTCAGCGTATATACGTTTGTTATTCTAGCCATTTATTAACATATCACCAGTAAATACTACTTGAATTACATTTTCTGTAGTATATGTAACAAAAAGTATATTTTAAAGTGCTATTTGCTAACGAATTGTAGGACCTGTCTTTCCTGATGTACAGTGCTGCTTTCCCCAAGTTTTTTAGAACCAGTGTTTGATCAGTTTCCTAATTACTCTAAAAATACTATAACACAAGCTAGTTTTGAAGCCCAGTTGTTACCTATTTGTAAATGTTTAAGAAATTCAGAATTACTCTACATTACAATTTATATTTTTTCTATTCTTGTACAAAAGTTCGTTACATTATATTAAAACATTTTTGGAGCATTACCTTGTTGTTAGTCTCATGTTGCAATATTCAAAATCTCTCTATCTGACAACCATGCATTTTGAGAACATCCCTGCAGCATAACTTTCATTGCTAATGGTTCAATAGTAAGGCTGCCATGTCTAAAGCACACCACTCCTCCATGTATGCTTTCCATTATGTATCTAGTGTAGGAGAACAACAGTTTTCCAGTACTTGTCTAAACAGTTTAATGGTACAGAAATCCATAAGCACAGCGTCCAGTAATTTGACCAGTAGGGAAGTGCATGAATATCCATTTCATTCTCTAGCTGCTTGAGGTATGGGATGGTTGAACAAGTATGTAGTGGAAGCAACTTGTGTACATGTGACTTGTTTTGCTTTTCCAGATAGAGATCCTTCTTGATTATGTTTTAACTGTTGCCTGGGGCACATGAACATCTTTTACCACTGACCTTTGTGTTTGTAACCATTATTACTTGATCATTCACTGACTGTAACTGAACCATAATTATATGACTGTAACTCAACCATTATTACTTGATAATTCACTGACTGTAACTCAACCATTATTACTTGATCAATCACTGACTGTAACTCAACCATTATAAACTTGATAATTCACTGACTGTAACTGAACCATAACAACTCCATAATTATATGACTGTAACTCAACCATAATTACTTGTAACAAGTGAGAATCCAATTACTTGATAATCATCTGACTAACTCAACCATTATTACTTGATAATTCACTGACTGTAACTCTTTGTAACTAAATCTTTAGTAGATTTGTACATGATTGTATGTACTTAACTGAACAATAACTTGATAACCACCTGACTGTAACTCAAACATAGTAATCATATTATAATTACCTGACTAACTCAACCATAACTGTATAATCATCTGACTAACTCAACCATAATTACTTGATAACCACCTGACTGTAACTCAAACATAGTAATCATATTATAATTACCTGACTAATTCAACCATAACTGTATAACCATGTGACTGTAACTCAACCATAATTACTTGATAACAACCTGACTGTAACTCAAACATAGTAATCATATTATAATTAACTGACTAACTCAACCATAATTACTTGATAATCATCTGACTAACTCAACCATAATTACTTGATAATCATCTGATTAACTCAACCATAATTACTTGATAATTCACTGACTGTAACCGAACCATAATAACTCCATAATTATATGACTGTAGCTCAATCATAATTACTTGATAACAATCTGACTAACTCAACCATTTAGAAATATCTACTTTCAAATCAGTAAACATTTGTTTTGAGCTAAGTCATCACTGACTCTTGAGCTTAAGCTGTAGTTACATCAAATACATCTAATAAATAAAACATTTAGAAAGATTCTTTTTAATATTTTATTTCAATGAGTTGAACTAAAATAGGCTACGTGTTAGACATGAATGTTACTGTATGTATAGGTACAGGAACAATTAGTTATATATAATGTAATAAAACACCGTAGCCGAGTTTTATACAGTTTCCCTTCTTCAAACGATACAGTTAATATGTCTTGCAGTAGTGTCTGTGTTAAAATGTAAGTGTAGTCATTAAAGAAATGGTTTGAGAAATCTTAATCTTATAAGTACAATGAATAAGAAACCTCACACTGTGACATCTTTCTGATGTACTATCTAAAAGAAAGATTTGGTTTATAGCTTGGCATCTGTACCATCATGGATGGTCTCCAAGTAGTTAGTGTGTATGTGCAGAGTTTGTGAAACATACATCAGATGTACGTAAAGTTGAAATGTCATATCGAAAAATTGTATAAGTTATTCCCATTAGCAGCTGGTGTCATAGATCATGTCAAAATCTTGTTCTTTTCGTGATACACAAGGAACATGGTGTAGTCGTCAAACTGGGTATTTCCTCACTTCTGTTAAGTTGCTGTTTTTGTTTTGCTGTGTCAGCCTTTATTTGACGAGAGTTTAAATCATATCATCTATTCAGAACATCTGTCATTTTTCCTACTTAAGTAGATAATACAGTAATGTTGTTTGTACTTTTACCTGAGAAAGAACAGCACACCTGTTACTGTCGATCTTCCTTTGTAACCTGTCAGCTACTACTTTCTCACCACCAGCTGTTACAGTTTAATCACTGTTTTTGTTTCTTCTTCTAGAACATTGACATCACCAACTTCAGCAGTAGCTGGAATGATGGCCTTGCTTTTTGTGCTATTCTACACACCTACCTACCTGATTTAATTCCTTATAATGATCTGGATAATAAGGATAAAGTAGGTGTCTAATAAGTATTTTAAAATATGTTTTCAAACTTTTACGCTTACTATAAAAAAAATGATGCATGATTCTGATAAACAGGTTAAGCAAACTGGTTGTTTTGAAAGAATGTGTATTTGGGTTTTAATTCGGAATAAAATACCTACATTATAGTAACGCACACGATCACTGACCACTTAACAACTTTAGCACCTTAATTTGGGAATTATCAAAAACTGTAGATGTTCTGTGACATAATTTTTTACCTGTTTATGTAATGTATTACTGAAACATTTAATTAGGTTAATAATAAGTTATTACTTCCTGTATCCTTTCGATTATAGATTATAGTAACGCACACGATCACTGACCACTAAACAACTTTAGCACCTTAATTTGGGAATTATAAAAGACTTTAGATGTTCTGTGACATAATTTTTTACCTGTTTATGTAATGTATTACTGAAACATTTAATTAGGTTAATAATAAGTTATTACTTCCTGTATCCTTTCGACAGATAACTACAATCATGGTACGTGTTTCACTGAATGATTACTTTATAAAGAGTAAAAAAAAGGATCAATTGATCTATCCGTAAAACATTTGATTAAAAGCACTTGTTGTATATTTTACTGTAATAATTTTTTCATCTCAAACTTATTTAAAAAAGCAATTCACTCTTTCTTTAAAGTTTTTTTTGTTTGTTTGTATAGAAACTGTGGTATAACTAGATTGAATGTATATATATTGTATGCCTCCAGGTGATTCAACTGCAATTCTGAGGGCGTATAATGCTAAAAAACAAATTAGATTTTCACTCTTGTTAATAAACAAATATACTGTGCCCTAGAGTTGGAAATGTACAGAAACTAGTACAGATTGACTGAAATTATATACTGTATTCTAGAGTCAGAAACGTACAGTAAGTAGTACAGGTTGACTGAAATTATATACTGTATTCTAGAGTCAGAAACGTACAGTAAGTAGTACAGATT